CAACCATCATATTCCAAAGCAGTGCATCATTTTCCAGCTTCTCAACTAGGATAAGGTACGAGTTTAAGCACAGAGAATGTTGATATGTCCAAGAAAATCAAGCCATTACTAACACAAAACATGATCAAAAGGATGCAAACACCATCAAAGGGTTTTGCTGGGGGTTGGATTGGTGTGAGTGAAGGTTTCAAGTCTTCCTATTTGCATGTCCTGTCACTTTATTTTTGGAGATTTTGATAGTAAATAAGGCTGCAGTAAAATTTTAATAGGAATGTAAATCTAGCTCTGAGCCTTTCAGTGAGTGTGAGAAGCCAAGTTTTCAGTGCAACACTTTCCTCATGAACACTTTGATCCAAAGAGGTTTTGTGCACAAAGTTTACAATTTCTTTACGGGACAGCCATCTACTTAATACACTTGGTCTAGCAGAGAGCAGTAATAATCATCTTTAAATCCTTAAGTGGTAAAGATGTGAAGTTTATGGCTAGGATGGACTGGAAGAGAGTTTTCCATCAAGTGTTAATGATAAACCCACTGCATGTAAAAACTACAAAAGGACAGTGCCTCTTTAACAGGGACTCCTGTTTGTGCTCCATGGAGCTTTGCAGTATTAGTAAAGCAGCATGAAAGAGTTGATTTTCATTTTATGTTGTGCTTGTGAGGCATTAACATGATGTTCTAACACTTGTAAATGAATACAGCTCTTGCCTAATCTGTCATTTTAATGCCTTATAGATTTTATTTCACTCTGTGTTGTACCAGATTCTCAATAATAATAATCAACTGCTTTGTTGTTCTCCTGCAGAAATTAAATTTCTGTAGTGAGTGTGCAACTAATAAAAGATGTTGCTTGAGGAAACAAAAAATAAATATGATGAATCATAAAAGTTGTATGTAGGGGGTTGCTCGTATATGAAAGACAATTACTGAACCAGTGGTAAATTCATCTGATTCTCATATTGTCAACAGCTTAATAACTCTCACAAAGGGTTTGCTACTTCTGTAAGCTCAGCCCCTCCTGGTTATCCATGTGGTGTGGCATCACAGGGGGATGTCCAGGAGAGGGGACCTGTTCCCAGTGCATTGGTCCAACAGTGACCCTCACACAGGGTCTGGCAGACAGCCCTGGCTGGATAAAAATCCAAGTTTATTTGTAGATATTTCTAAATGTGGCTCCCAAGAATATTAAATACGGGTCAGCCGCTGGCTTCACTCCTGAAAAAGGACAGAGAAAGAAAAGTAGAAGAAAGTTTTTCTCGAAATTCATGGCTTTGAGATGCTTCCCATGGGTTTATTTGGGATCTCCTTATTCCTTAGGAAATACAATTCAGTACAAAATAGTCTGTGTGACTGTGGGGAGGTATGTGGGTCAGCTTTTGGAATAAAGCAGCTGTAATATCAGGTACAACGTACTGATATCCTCTGTTTTCTCCTTGAGGGATTACGAGCACAGGTGAAAAGTTAACCATACCATCAACTTCGTATTTTAAACCCCTATTTTCTTAAGGTAAATGGCTGTGAAGAGGGAGCCAGGCTTTTAACCTGCATGATATGGCTGTAAAATCATACACTTACTTTCTGGTGTTGTCTGCTCTTAGTGTACCCTCATCTCTTGGCTTCCTCTTGACAACGTGGCTGCTAATTCCGCTTTCAAGTGGAAAGTGTTGTAATTTCTTCTATTTGATGAAGTATATGCAAAAGGATACAAACAATCTTTTATAGGAGAGCAGGGATGTTGATAAGGATGGTTAAGGCTCAATTCCTCAAACAATTTTGCATCCAACAGTTCCCATTAGGCATCAGAATGAAATAACAGAAGTTCCCAAACAGCTCAGTTCCATTTTAGTAGGAACCACAGGATACCCAGCACTTTTTAAAACTGTTACTTTTTTTCCCCCAAAAGGAACTTGAGCTCCCCTAAATAAGCAACCACTGCTGAGGAGATTGAGAACCAGCTTTGATGGGAGCTGTGATACTGCAGCAAGGAGGGTCATTAAGCAGAGAATCCTTCCAGGAGCATTTCTGTCGCTGTTGCCAATTCCTCTTCTGGCCCTGAATCCAGAGCTGTTGGCAAAGATGGGACTGCACAGGAACAGAACTTTTCTGTCCTGTAATAGAGAGTGTGGACTCGTGTAGCAACACCCTGCAGCCTCAACCTGGCCCTTGGCAATCCTGTCTTTACCCTCAAGATCTTATTTTTGGTTCTTGTCCAGGCTTTGCTAGGAAACACGACCACAAGAAAACCTGGATGTTGTCTTCCCTAATGGAAAAGCCGATATTTAGTGATGGGTTTGAATTTGGATGCAAACAGGGAAAAACAGTATACAGGAAATATTTACTTTTTTTTTTTTTAGTTCACTGCTAAAAGGCATTATATTTATTTATACAGTATATCCAGATTTATTTATACATTTTATACATTATATTTATTGCCATTATATTTATTTCTTTCTGTTGGCACAGACATAGTGCTGCACCCAGGTTTGCCTGTGTAGGTGAAAGCACTACAGGAACCCAGCTGGAAAAAGTGAAGTGCTGGAAAACTTGTAACCATCACACAACACATCTACTCCCTAAAACAGGATAATTCAGGCTCGGGGGGGTCTCTTTAATCCAACATCCTGCCTGAAGCAAAATCATCTGTTGGATCAGAGCAGGTTGCTCGGAGTTTTGTCATGTCAGGTGTTGAGCAGCTCCAAGGCTGAGCCTGCACAACCTCCCTGGACAAGCTGTACAGGGATTTTTTGGACAGGCTTGGCTGAAACAGAGACTCTGAAATCAGGTGCTGGTTCTTTAGGGAATGGAGCAGCCAGAGCTGGGCCTGGGGACCAGCAACCCCCTGTGCTTCCATGGGAGTTTTGCCTTTAACTTGCCAAGTGCCTTCCAGCAAGTCACTTTTACCCCTCTGTCTCAATTTCTCTTGTTATAAAATGGGGATAATAATCCTTACCTACCCTACAGGGTGTTGTGAGGATTAATTAGTTGTTGGTGCTGCGTGTAAAAGATGTAAATAGCCACATAAATGCTGGATATTATCATTATAATGAGAACCACACAGCACTGTAAGAAAAGAAATGCTCTCCAAATAGGTTGCGTGTGCCATTATGCCCCCCCACAAGAGCAGCTTCTGGGGTTTATTTGAAACATCAGCAAGGCATCAGACTTCCAAATCCAGAGTTGGATGCTCTGTTGCAGCATTTAACACTTTTTTTTTTTCCTCTTGCCAGTTATTTTTTTATAGTCGGTGCAAGTTAGAACAACAAACCCAGGCAAACATATGTAGTGGTCCTGCTTGAATAAGCACTGGCTTTTATGGTGTTTATGTTAAATATATAAGGATCATTAGGAGGACAAGGTGACACAGTCAGTTATTTTGATAGCCCCCAGGCGCTTCACCACTGACACCTGCTTTGGAATTCCGACTGGAAATGACCCAAATTATGGTAAAAGTAGGAAGCTGGCCTGCCTGAAACTCCGTTCAGAAACAGAGGTGACAGTGATATTAATCTGCACTTTCTTGATTGTATTGCGTAATTTAGAAAACAATCTGTAATTTAGAAAATAATCTGAAAATAAAACAACCCCAGACCAAACCCATGAGGGCTCCTCAGAGTTACCCTTTCACACCAGTCACTGGGGCCAACACCCAGAGCTCTAGGAAGTGAGATCCCAACAAGTCTGGTAGGGAAGCTCCGTTGCTGGGAATGTTAAAATGCCCACCCAGGAGTAAAAATTCTGCCTTTACAACTCTTTTGTACAAAGTAGGACTCTCACCATTGTCATGGAAGTCACTGGGTCAGATCTGATTTCTTTTTTTCCCCCTGTATGAAATGGGAAAAAAAATGCTGCTCATAGATTTCTGTTTAATAGTGTTTGCCAGACAAAGTAGAATTTTCACAGCACAAGTTCTATAGCTCGAGAGTCCTATTCACTCAGCATTTATTTTATGGGTCTTTTATCCACCTTTTCTGGCTTGGAGAAAAAAAAAAAAAAGGAAAAACAGGGAATTTACCCACTTAAAGTAAGCTTTGCACCAAAACTGTCTTCTGGGGTGTTTTTGTAGTGTTAATGAAATCTCAAGAAGACATTAATAATGATCTTCCGGCACAGAACTCATAAAATTAATATTAACAGCTAAAAAAGGAGAAGTATTTCCCACTCCAGCAGAAAATATAGATTTGCCTTACAATAAATATGGGTTCTATCAGGTGATATTTTATAGTGGTGTTGTGTGAACATGGGTCTGAGAGCTAAAACTGTGTGTGTCCTAACTCTGCATATAATGCTGAATTTGGCTGTGGCTGTGGGCCAGTCACTCACTTCCCCACTGGAATTCCCTGTATTTTTGTGCCCAGGACACCAGACAGTTCTGTGAGATGGTGAGTTAGCTGTGCCTGTAAAGATTCTGGAGGAGGAGAAGTTGGATTCCTGGTGAACAGTGGGTTTAAGTTTTGTCTCAGAATCTTTCCTAGGAGTTTATACCATGTCTATAAAGTGTACAGTGCCTGTATATCTCTACAACCAACCAGGACATTTTAAAGATATTGTTTTTCCATCATTCTTACATGTTGCTTTTATTCAATTGTAGATGAACAAGGAAATGCAGAATAAGTCCAGCTTTAAAATTCCCAGTCTGGACTGAGGATTGTCACTAAAACAAACTAGTTTAATTGAAGCTCAGACAAAGCCAAGACTTAAAATATTTTGATTTCTTGTTCAGCTACTTAGATAAATAGATTTTAATTTGTATACTCTCTTTGACAAGCACCAGTACCTTTTACAGAGTCACAACCCAAACCAGATGGTGTGGAATTCCGAGGTCCCTTTGTCAGGAAACGTTCCTGCCACGTACAAACCATCCATGTCCAGCTCATTTGGCCAGGAAATGTAGTGCTGGTAGATGGGTATTGAAAGGGGTTAGAGAGAGAAAGAAATACAGAGAGGCTTCCTTCAGATCCCCCAAATTTGGGCTGGAAGCAGTTGTTGTCATCTTTAATTCCAGGTCTTTCAGGAAAAGGAAGGTTGCTGTGGGAGATGCAGTCCCCTTCACCCCACTGGTAAATCTGTGCCTGATAAAATGTGGTTTATTTTAGCATTATTTGTGTATTTTGCTCTTCTATATGCTTGCTAGCCACATAAATGTCTAATGTTTTTAATTTAGCTAAGTTGTTAGCAGGGATATCTTGTGGCAGGAAGTCCTGCAGTCTATTTTTTCACTGTAAAAAGAAAAAGAAGTTATGCTTTGAATTTGCTACTGTCTGATTGAATTAATTACATAATTAAGTTCTGGAGCACAACAGGCTGAAAAGTTTATTTTTCTGCCTGCTTTTAGGTGGCTTTGCCATGACTTACCAGCACAGGAGAATTAATACCCAGACAGTGCTCAGCTTCATTATGTGCCTCAGTGGAAGCAGACAGCACAGAGGATCGTGTTATCCCTCTGCTCCCATTTCTGCCTGCAAACAGTTTTGGACTCCTGTGAAAAAAGTTGAGTTTTACAGTGTTCTGAGTTATATTTCCCTTCCATTTAAAAAGAAGAACCTTGCAAATGTGATTCTGGCTGGGGATTATTATCTCTGTGTGTTGATAATTCTCGAATAATGATGCGTATGGGGAGTTCTGATGAAGGGTGTGGAGGAAGATGATTGAAGGCACTTGCAGATGGAAGTCACAGATTCCTCTTGGATGGTGACAGTTTCCAAGCTCTGTATGGCAGATTTTTCTCTGGCCTAATATGTAGTTTATCATATTTCTCTCACTTTCTATGACTGATTTATCGTTGCTTTGAGTTCCTTTTCGGAGAGTGCTCCCAGCACCCAGCAATGAATAAATGCAAATGGTTATTTATGGCTTGCAGAAAATGACTCAGTATTTTCTTTAATTCATTACAGTGATGAGAGGATTTCTGTAGTGTGCAAATGTTTTTTTTTTTCCAAACATTTTTTTCGTGGTGTATAAACCTTCCACTGGCCATTGAGTCTCTTTTAAAAGAGCATGGGGTATCATTTTTAGTGGGACATGTGGCACCCAGGCACTTCATGGTCCATGTTACAACCAACTGTATTTGGGGTCTTGCATGGTTTTCTGAAGGTTTTTTGGTTGGGTTTTTCTTGTGGTTGGTTTTTTTTTTTTTTCCCTTTTGTGGGGGACATTGACCCAAAACGTAAAACAAAACTGGTGGGAGGCATGCAAACCTACTGGCATACATATTGAAACTAGAAAGAAAAATGCTTCTTCAGACCCTTGTGAAGCAATATTGCTTAATTAACCCTAGTTAAGCCCTACCTTGTGAAAAGGTTAATGGGATTTTTAATGACCTTGAGTGGTCAAGGCCTCAATTTTACATTTCTTCTGAAAGAAAATGGAAAATAGAACAAGAAAGCCATTCAAACTTCTGTGAATCTGGAGAAAAAAATTGGTTTACAGTAGCAGTTCAGGTCATTCCCTGTTTCATTTGAAATGGTTTACCCATTCCTTACCTTGGCCATCCCGGGGGGGTTTGATGCAGCCCTGAGATGGCACTGGCAGGGTCTGGGTGTAGATTGGGTTTCACTCACAGGGTGTAGAAGGGCCTGTTGTTCTGCAGTGACAAAGCTGAACACAGAGCCTTGACAGAGATAGAACATCATCCCCTCACCCAACCTCTTCCCCAGGAACCATATTAATGAATGAAATCTGAATAATGGCCTTGGTGAAGTAGACAAATAGCCTTAATAAATTCCCTGTTTATTTTTAAAGAGAGGGTTCTGTGACTGTTCTTATCCGGGCTGCACTGGAAGCACATTTGGAGACAAAGATGCTCCAGAAAATAGAAATTAAATGGAGTCTTTAAATTTAAATAGAGAATCTTACTGATGAGTGATCATTGCAGTTTCCATGACACAAACACCACGTGTTCCCTTGCAAGAATACCCATAATTAATTTAAATTTTGCTAGTTTTCAGTCAGGTAGTTTTCGGACATTTACTTGTAAAGGCACTCAAGCTCCAGTTTGACTGTGGGTACATATTTCTGGGTGTTTTTACCATGAAAGAGCAGTGTTTATGCATCCCTGTGGAACATTCCATGAACTGGGAGAGCTGTAGTAGTGTGGTAACTGTTAGTGTTTGTGAACCAGCCTCCAGAGGGGGATACAGATGTTCTGCTACTAATCAGTGCATCGTAAGAGTTAATTACTGGGGGAGCTCCTGCTTGTGAACAGTCAATACAGCGATGCTTTCATCCATAGGGTCAGCAGTGTGCTTTCTTTGAATTTATCCAGCTTAGTATATAGCAGAACACTTAGGGCCCTGCAGATGAAGCTATTAATTGCATTAAAAAACTTTCCATAATTAGGTTTGGAGTGTAACTGTAATCTCCGGGATCAGCGGTTCCTGACACCCGTCAAGTGGCAGGAGGGTGAAACCTTTTCTAACCCTGCTGGACACGTGTGTGTCACATCCTGATTGCAGAGAGGAGGGGACTCTGAAGGCTGGAGAGTGGGAATGAGCTGCTGTTTAACTCCAGCTCACTGAAATGGTGCAGTTTTGTTCCTGTGGAATTGTTTGGCTTTCCTCTGAAACCACAGAACTCGCTCCAGAGCTGAGTGGGGTGTTGAACTTCACTGGCACTGGCGAGGGAGCAGAAGAATGAAAGTTTCTTCTCAGAAGTACATGGCATAAATTTTAACTGGTGCTTCTTTGTGGATGTGAGTCCCTCTCTGAAAGGGGGCACTCCCTGTAGCTGTTGCTGGTATAGAAATGGAGGAGACGGGACAATTACTTGATCTGATTCACACTCCTGCAAATTAAAAATGGCCACGGCCCATTGTTCTGAAACCACTCATTACATCTGCAGGGTTTGAAAAGGAAACTCTATTCAGAGAAGCCTTTCTTTTTGCATGGATGACAGAGAATCCCTCTACTACCTGATCTATAAGACACACATATATATATGTGTGTGTGTGTGTGTATATGTATATATGAAACACTCTACGTACAAAATGCAGACACATGGGAGGTGCTCCCTGAATGCCCACACACTATTTTTGTAAAAATAAGTGTATGCTGAATCCACACAAAAAGACACTGTGACCTAAGATTTTTTTAAATCAAAAGGAGCATTTAAAAATTGCTTAACTTAAGCCATGTGTCACTTCAACCTAATTTGTGGGAAGCTGTTAAATAAGTCTTCCTGTCTCCCCCAAAACACCCCAAGGATCTGTTCTCTAATGTACTGTTCTGCCATGGAATCTGTATAAACAAGTATAAATGTTTAAAAAGTAAAGAATACTAATCAAGAGATGGAAGACATGTGCTGCTTAATAAATCTTGCCTTCAATTTTATTTGTCTAGTATTACAAAGGCAGAGGAGATATCAATTAATATAGGCAAAGAGGACCCATAATTTATAATTAACTGGCAAGTGGTTTGTAACAAACAGCAGCACTGAATCTAATAGCCAGTAGAAAAATAACTAGTGTTGATTTGTCCCTCGGCAAATTAATAGAGTGCTTATCAATGACAGGGTTACATAAAACTGCTAAATAAATAATCATCAGTGAGTTAGAGTGAAGCAGATCTTTAACAAGCTTAATCTGAACCTCTTGACATCGGTAGACTATGAAGAGATTAAATGCTAAGAAAGAGAAGATGCGCTGTGCACGCCTGTGAGCGTGCTCAGGAGCTGTGAGGGATCGTGTGCCGGGGTAATGGGAAATAAGGAAACATTTTTATTGCAGAATTACGTTGAGAAATGATTTTCATTATAATTAGACTGAAAATTATAAAAGGTATATCAAAGAAATGCTGAACTGGAATTAAGCAGATGAGAGTGGCACTACATCTCCAAGCAATGAAAACACATCAGTGGAGTCGGCTTTGATAGAGTTTTGGCTCAAGGTTTTTTCTTGGTTTTATTACTCACCTTTGTCCACTTCTGGTTTCTGTGTCACTTTTGCTGATGTTCCCTGGTAGCTCTCTTAAATCATCCCAACAGCCACGCAGCGCACCTGATTTTCAGAATGTGTCTTATTCATGAGCCTGGAAATATATATATATATAGGGTATAATTTCTAGACATGTTTTACTTTTATAAAGGCTCTTTGTGCAATAAGTCCATCTATGAAGGTCTCTCCAGTTCTTGCTTAATGATAATATGAGTTAGTTTTGTCTTGGAAAGCTCACAGTTCTCAGAAGACCCAGCTAAAGCCACCCTGGGGAATCCTAAAAGGCTTTGTGTCCAAGTGAAGATGTACAGAAGCATCCCTGCTGAGCAAGGGGAGAGCTGGGAGTGTTCTCCCTTGTGCTGGATGCACAGAGGTTGGATCCTTCTGCAGATCCCAGGGGATCACCAGAAGGTCCTTTCAAGGCTGCAGGTATTTAGTTACTGGGTGTGTGTCCTTTGCAGAATTTTGGGATTAAGGAGGAAAGGGCTGTCCTCTCTAAACCAGCTGTGGATTAGCCCATAGCAAGAATTCCCTGGGAACGAATCACTTGTAATTTTTCCTTGAGGCCTCTCTCCTTTTTCTGGCTGTGAGGAGAAAGATGTGTTATGGCAGTGAGACTGCCATCTCTTTGGGACAGAGAGGGAATGTGCTAAAGCAGAGCTGAGTAACTTCAGAAAGCTTTGTTGGCACTGGCAGGAATTCGATCCGGAGCAGGATCTGACCTGTGGCAAAGAGCTGCGAGTGCTTCTCCTTTCTTGTACAGGAGAGCAAAGCTGCCCTGGCACAGCTGGGCCACGGCTGGTGAAGAGCATCTTTTGGGAACTCATCCCTTCCCATCCATCCCTTTCAGTCTAAGGAGCTCCCAGGAAGTGTTTCAGCGTCCAGGTACCCGAGGCAGGGAGCCTGATGAGCCCCAATTACCTGGTTGGTGTTATGATTGAGCACTAATTGTCTGTCTGCAGAGGGGGCATTCCCGATGAGGAGACTAATTCAGTCTTTTTCTGTCTCGGTGGTCAGGTGGGGATTTTTTTGAGGCAGGGGCTGGTGGTGTTTGCTTGGATTACACTGGAGATTTTTCCAGACCTCTCTATCATAGAACACTGTTAGCAAGAGAAATGTTGTCTTTACATCCAGCTTCTCCTTCACCCCTCCTCTGGACTCTTCTTCCTAAAAAGTTTGGGAAAGAGAATTTTTAGGACCCACACGGAACACGGTGAAATATTTCCTTGTGGATGGCAGTGGAAACTGCAGTAATGGGAGAGAAACCTCATACTGACAATGCTTCACTAGTTTATTTTTATGTGTGTTGCTTTCCAATTTTTATTCTGAGACTGTCACCACTTAAAAAGAACAGAGTAGAGCCTCAATTTTATCTCCTTTTTCTCTTTTTTCTCCTTAAACTAAACCTTTCTCTGGTGGAGCAATGCTGTCTAGTGCCCCGCTGCAATGATTGATCAGTATTGCTCAATATATCAATGGGGTTTTGGGGGGCTTTGGGTTTGTTTTGGTGGTTTTTTTTTTTAATAAAGAGAATGTGGGAGGTTCACACGTCGCTGTCACCACGTTGGCAGGATCGCCATGTCTAAGGTGCTATCAGGGAGGTTACAGGGCATTCATCAAAATCAAGCTGATGCAAGCATGAATACTCCCAAGAATGAGACCTTTTGTACTGAAAAAAAACCGCTGAAGGCTGAAAAGGGGCTAATTTATTTAAATTATCTGTATACATGTCAAGCCCCATAGTTTCCAGAGGAAGCTGACAATCGGAAAAGAAAGCTTTTCTTAAATTTAACAACAAAACCCTAACGGGGGGAAGTTATACCAGAAAGGCTGAGCAACTGAGATGATAATCATCTGTAGTGATGCAGATGAACAAAAATACAGTTTTC